CTGAGTGCTGGGATTAAAGGCGTGTGCCACCACGCCCAGCTTATTTATTATTTTTATTTTATGTGTATGAATGTATTGCCTGCAAGTGTGTAAGTGCCCCCATATCACAAAATGCCTGCAGAGGTCAGAAGGCTTTGGATCCCCTGGAACTGGAGTTATGGACAGTTGTTAACTGCCATGTGGGTGCTGGGAATCAAGCTTGGGTCCTCTACAAGAGCAGATGGTGCTCTTAACCTCTAAGCCATCTCTCCAGCCCCAGCTCTTTCTTATCTTTATACCCAGAGGTTAGTGCATCTCTCAATTTTCGTAGGAGAAATTTCTTCTTTTATGATATTTTATGTGTCTGAGTGTATTGCCTGCATGTATGTAAGTGCACCTGTGTCATGCAATGCTCATGGAGGTCAGAAGAGGGCATCTGATCCCCTCGAACTGGAGTTATGGATGGTTGTTAGCCACCATGTGAGTGCTTGGATTCGAGCCTGGGTCCTCTGAAAGAGTAGCCAGTGCTCTTAACCACTGAGCCATCCCCCCAGAGAAACTTCTTCTATACTAATGGCAATAATGCAAAAACTCACAATTTGTCAACATGCAGAGAACAGAAAACTGTAGCATGCTCAGCTTTAAATGGTACAGCTGGCCACACCCCCTCCTCCCAAGGCTCCAGGATCAGCATGGAACAGCCAGATGTAGGGGACATCTTCAGTGAAACAGTATTTGCCTGACAGGACAGTGCCAGGTGTGCACATGAACTCACAGCAGCTGTTACTGCGTGCACAAGACCCGCATAAGATCAAGCCAGCTAAAAATCCCAGTATGAATAGGGGAGGTCTCATAAAGCTCGGGTAGCTGAGGAACTATTGTCGACTGATGGCTACTGGGGGAGGGAGAGTGTTTCCTTTAGGGATGTGGCCCCTGAGTGGCTCCCCAGTGCTCCTACACCCAGGCACATACAGGGAGCACTAAGTGGACTTATTTGGTTTAAAAAAATAAAAAAGAGGGAAAAGCAGGGTGGGGGTGGGTAGGGGAGAAATTGGAAAGAAGGGAAGGTGGGTGGATTTGATCAAAATGCATTATATGCATGTATGAAATTCTCAAACAATAAAAAAATTAACTGTCATAAACTGTGATATTTTATATGTTGGTGACCCTCCAGGGCACAAGTCTTTTAAAGCGTGAAGGTTAAGAATGCTTTACCACACTGCAGTCATCCAAACTAAAATTGTTAGTAATAACCCTTTTGTACGTGTGTATGTTCTAATTCTATTATGTTCGTCTTTCTCTTTTCCTGTGAGACAGGGTCTCATGTAGTCCAGGCTGACCCACCTCAAAGTCAAGGATGACCTTGAACTCCTGATCCTTCCATTTCAGCCTCCCAAGTGCTGGGATTACAGGCATGTGCCATAGCATTCAGCCTAATCATCAGCATTTTTGTCACATTTATTTATTTATTTATTTATTATTTATTTGGTGTGTGTGTTTATGTTCGACAGTGTGTATGTAAGGTCAGAACACAACTTGTGGGACTTATTTTTTTTCTTCTACCATGTGGATCCTGGGGATTGAACACAGACTTGGTGGAAAGAATTTTTACCCACTGAGCCATCTTGCTGGCCCATTATCTTTTTTTTTTTTTTTTTTTTTTTTTTTTTTTTTGAGACAGAGTCTCCCTGTGGCCCCAGCTGGCCTGGAACTTGCTCTGCAGCCTCCATCTCACAGAGATCCATCTGCCTCTGCCTCCTGAGTGCTGGGACTTAAGGCATGCACCTCCACACCCTGCCCTCATTATCATTTTTTTTTTTTGTGGTCTTTTTGAGACAGGGTCTCCCTGTAGCCCCAGCTGTCCTGGAACTCACTGTGTAGACCAGGCTGGCCTTGAACTCACAGAGATCCACCTGCCTCTGCCTCCCAAGTGCTGGGACTAAAGGCATACGCTACCACGCCCGGCTCCCATTATCATTTTTTAACACAAATAAGTTCAATGCACACTAAACACTTGAGTTCCAAACATGCTACTCTAGAGGCTCAAAATACAGTGGGAATGACTAGACGGTTCTGTAAATTCCTAAGCCTTCTTTGGTTTGTTTTTGGAATCCTCTTTGGAAACTCTATAACTGTTATTTCTTGATACTCTGTTACAAAAGGGAACAAAAACCTCTTTCAATTACAAAGTGTGATGGTCAGCTTCAACTTGACACAACCTAGACTCACCTGGCAAGAGTCTCAATGAGGGACTGCCTACATTGGGTTGACCTGAGGATGTATCTGTAGGGAATTGTTTTAATTAAGTTAATGGATGTGGGAATACCCAGCACCACTCTGGGTGGCATCATCCCCTCAGCGGGGGTGGGGGGGTGGGGGGGATTTAACTGTGTGAGAGTGGAGAAACTGAGCTGGGCATTAGCTAGTGAGCATGCAAGTATCCATGTGTATGCCTGACTGTGCCTGTTTGAAGTTCCTGACCTTTTTTTGACTTCCTCATAATGAACTGTGACTGGGGATTATAAACTGAAATAAACCTCTTTCTCTCCTAAATTGCTTTTTTTTGGTCTTTTGAGATAGGGTTTCTCTGTAGGTGCAGCTGGCCTGGCCTGGAGCTACTCACTATGTAGACCAGGCTGGCCTCAATCTCACAGAGATCCCCCTGCCTCTGCCTCCCAATTGCTGTGATAAAGGTGTGCACCACCATGCCCTGCTGTCCTATTCCTTTTTATAGTCTGAAATCCATAAAATCATATTCTAGTTACATAAGCACTCTAAAATGTTTATTCCCAGGATATAGTTACTAAAACTGTGGCTTATTAACCTCAACAGGTAGAACAGTGACTCTCAACCAAGGATGATTTTTGTGTCCTATGGGACACTAAAGATGTCTGGATAGTTTTGTTTGTCACAACTGGGTACTGCTCTCATCTGCTGCATAAAGACCAAGGATGCTGCTACTCATAGGAGAAGCCTGACAACCAAGGCTTACTTCTTCCCAAATGTCAGCCAGCGGTGCCAAGCCTGATGTAGACCCAGTGGCATTGTACTTTGTGTTTTTTCCCATGTTGAGTATCCGCACCATTCTGTGTTGGGTACCTACTTAGGATCCTGCCTTTCTTCTTTCATTTTAACTTAAAAGTATTCTATTTTTTTAAATCACACACACGCACACACACACACGTACTCACACACGTACATCCACGGCAGCTCCCTTTCTGTAGTCATTTCAGTTCAGCTCCTCTGCAGTGGCTTCTGTATATTCTTTTTTTTTTCTTTCTTTCTTGTTGTTTTGAGATAGGGTCTCCCTGTAGCCCCCCAATAACCTGGAACTTACTATGTAGACCAGGCTGGCCTTGATCTCATGGAGTTCTGTCTGCCTCTGCCTCCAGACTGCTGAGACTGAAGGTGTGTGCTGCCACGACCAGCTTCCATGTACCATTCTGTTTACTAGATTTTCTTTTTATTTTACTCTATGGCCTAGGATTTCTGGGAACTCACTGTGGACTTGGCAGATGATGCTGGGGAACATGGGGGGGACCTGGCTGTGCCCTCAAGGGTAGGTTCTAAGTGGGTCCAGGGACAGGCTCTGTAGAAGGTTCTGGTAGAATCTCTCTCTCTCTCTCTCTCTCTCTCTCTCTCTCTCTCTCTCTCTCTCTCTCTCTAGTGTGTGTGTGTGTGTGTGTGTGTGTGTGTGTGTGTGTGTTTGTGTTTTATGTAGCCAGATTGGCTTTGAACTCCTGATACTCCTGTCTCCACTGTCAAGTGCTGGGATTACAAACCTGGCAGGTACCAGGCTCAGCTCTCTGGTCTGACATTCTGCTACTGTGGGGAGACTGAATGGTTGGCAGATAAGGGCAAGAGCAGGGAGTCAGTTGGGGAGATGGTAGGAAGCCAGTGGGAAGTACCAGAGCACAGGCCTCCTGGGGTCCTAGCTTCACCAGAACCCCCTTGTTTTATAACACTCAAAATAAAAGCCTGCCATCTCCTTTTCCTGACAGACTGGATTGCTCCCAGGTAAGTACAGCCCTGACTTCAGGTCTCCAGATAAAGGAACTGGGCTTCAGGCGCAGCGGGTGGCAAAGACCTCCCAGGGTGAAAATGGGGGTCTCCAGGCGTCACCCAAGGGAGGTCCCTTGCAGGCCTGCACTCACACAGGTTGGCTCCCTAAGTGCCAGGTACTGTGACCACAGCTGTGCTCCCTCCAGTCAGAACTGGAGACAATCCTGGGTGGCCTTAGTTCTCCTGTGAGATGGACAAATCCACAGACCCGACCACGAGGTGGGAAAGCAGGTCAGGGTGGGCGGGGGAGGGCCTGAGGAGGGCAGTGATCTGGACCGTGGCGGGAAAGTCTGTCTTTGTGCCCTCGGCCAGTCTCCTCTCCGCCCCTCCCATCCCCACCGGGAGCCGCCTTCCCAAAGCCTTCTCTCCCCCTGCCTCTGCCCTCCACCCTCCTCCCCGCTCCGCCCTCTCCATCCCAGTCCGGCCCCTGGGGCGGGGGCCGTGGGCCAGGCTGGGGCTGGGGACCGTGCGTGCGTGACTACCTGCACCGGCTCCGGCCACGCACCCTCTGGCATGTCCTGGGCCGCGCTCCTCGGCCTGCTGGCCGGGCTGCTGCTGCTGCTGCTCCTGCTGAGCCGCCGGCGCGTACGGTGAGTGTCCCAGCGCCACGCGGGGACCCAGCCGGGGTGGGATGGGGACCGGGAAGGGTCGCCAGGTGAGGCGGATGGTGCGTGGGTGGGACCGGGGCAGCGTCTCAAGGGCCTCCTCTGCAGCACTCGGCCTCGCTGTGGCTCCATCCTCCTGGTCCTGTTACCAGCAGAAGTGCTGAGTCTGGGGAGGACGCAGAGGTCTGGCCAGGGCCACACTGGACCCCAGGGTTTCCCCGCTCTTGGGTGACAGGGCTCCGTGATCCCCCCGGGGAAACTGAGGCCCGCCAAGGGGGTCCCCTCCCCCGGGGTCCCACGGGGTAAAACCAGACCCCATGGAGACTCCACCATTTAGGAGGAAAACTAACAACTCCTCTTTAAACTCTAGCAGGTCTTTTTGTAAAGTTTTAAAAACCTAATTTGAATGGTACAAAGAACAGAACACATCTGACTTAAAACAAATTCGAAGCCTGGTGTAGATAAGACTGGAGCTTGTAACCCGAGTTCCCCTTCCCCAGGCCTTTCTTTCCTGTTGTTCAGTTTGGGTGGAACGTTCCAGATTTAAACACACACACAAACACACACACGCACACACACACACGCACACACACACACACGCACGCACACACACACACAAAACCACTTTATTTCAGAATGGCTTGAGATTGACACCACAGAGTCATCACACTTCCTTCCATGCTGCTCTTGTGGGTCACCTTTTATATTCTGGAACTTTCATCACATCTGAGAGCAGCTTGTCCAGGACTGTTAGCTAACCCTAAGATGCTGAGGGTTCCCATCAGACTCAGTTAGCATCCAGGGTCTGGTGCAGCTAGTGGGTTCTCTGTGGTTGTTAGACTCCTCCAGAGCCCCACATGCATATTTTAGTAATTTCTCTCACACACAGACATGAACTTGTGATAACACAGGGCAGTGAACATGTTTACATTACAGTGCCTGAAAATCCAGAAACACTGGGAACTTTGATTTTTAAACATCGTGTGAGTTGAGTTTTCCAACAAGCCCACCATGTTTTTCTTCAACCTTCAGGCACTTTTCCAGGTGAAACTGAACACTGTGTTTGTTACTATTTGAAAGAAAGGAAAAGAAAGAAAGAAGAAAAGCAATTGCTACAAAGGAATAGTGGGTTTTCCCTAAGAAACCGGCTCTCTCTGCCTTTCTGGGTGACTTTGGCTACCACAGCTGTTTCCCTCACTCATGATGTTGGACATGACATCTGTCCGTGGCTCTGTGGGGCTCAGGCACGGATTTCTTTATTCCTTTCCAGAAGGATTTTCCAGATGGACTTTTCAGTTGTTTCTAGAGCATTCTTTTCTTTTTAAAAATACATTTATTTGGGGCTGGAGAGATGGCTCAGCAGTTAAGAGCACTGACTGCTCTTGCAGAGGACCCGGGTTCAATTCCCAGCACCCACATGGCGGCTACGAACCATCCTTAACTCCAGTTCCAGGGGAATCCGAAGCCCTCCGCTGGCATTGCATGACATGGGTGCACTCACATACATGCAGGCAATATACTTGTACACATAAAAATAATAGAATATTAAAAAAATACATTTATTTGTCAGGTGAGGTGGTGCATGCCTTTAATTCCGACACTCAGGAGGCAGAGGCTGGCAGATCTTTGTGCAGTAGAGGCTAGCCTGGTCTACATAGCAAGTCCCAGGTCAGCTGCGGCTCCAGGGAGACCCTGTCTCAAAAAAAATTTACATTTATTTATTTTAGTTGTGCATGTGGAGGTCAGAGGACAACTTGTAGGAGTTCGTTTCTTCTACCATGTGAGTCCTGAGATTGGACTCTGGTCGTCAGGCTTGGTGGCAAGCACCTTGGTCCACTGAGCCATCTCACCGGCCCTACTTCTAGAACTTTCTGTGTTTCATATACTGAACTGTGGTTTGCCTGCAGGGGCCTGTGACCTGTGCGTTGCCTGGGGCAGGTGGGACAGCTAGAGGATGGATTCTGGGAGTCTGGACATCTGAGCTCTGGACGTTCTAATCTGAGGGAAGGTCCCCGCCTGTGGGGGGAATTAATGTTTTCTGCCCCAGTTTCCCAGTGTTTAAAGTGGGGCAGACGATAAAGATGGTGGCAGAGTGGAGTGGCCGGAGAGGAGGGACACCCCCACCCCACAAATGCTGTTTCTTCTGACCTTTGTTGACCAACAGTCTGAGAGCTTATGTCAGGATGAAACTTTTGTTTTTATACCTCTGAGTATCGAGGAAGATCATGAGGAGACTTGCGGAGCTGTGGGGATGGGAGCCAGTGGCAGCTGGGGGATGGTAGTCGCACGTCCCCTCCCCACTTACCTAGTGGCACTCTGGTTGCAGAGGTTCCGAGAGGCCACGTAACTTGTTCAAGCTCTTCCCCGATTAAAACTCTGGACTATGGAAAAATTTCATTCCCAGGAAAGATGAATCTTTGCCCTTTCTTCACATCGAGTTGCTGATCTGACCACTCAGAAATCCCAGACGATAAGGAAGGGAGCTATGAACCAAACAGTGTTAAGGAAGGATGGGTAGGCGAGTGCTGGAAAGACTTGCGTAGACAGTGACCCAGAGTTTGAGTGGAAAATACGCAAGGCTTCCCCTGCCCTGCCCCATTCCTTTCTCCTGACCAAACTTCAGGGTGATTTCTACCACCCTATCTTACAGCTGAGGCTTGAGGCTTACATGACCTTCCCTAGATCACACAGGAATTATCTTCCGCATCTGTCCAGCACTCCACAGTTCATACTTGTTCCAGTAAAAACTAAACTACAGCGTTGAGTAAATGCCTCTAGCATTTACAGTCCCCCCACCCCTTACCCCCACACCCCCCCACCCCAAACAAAGGTGTAGCACACACCTTTAATCCAAGCACTGGGAGGCACAGGCAGGTGAATCTCTGTGAGATGAGGCCAGCCTGGTCTACTTAGTGAGTTCCAGCCAGCTTGGGCTATAGGGAGAACCTGTCTAAGTAAAAACAAAACAAAACAAAACCCAACAGCCCTCTCCCCCTTTTTTTATTGTCAGAAAGAGTCTCACAACATAGTGTTAAACAATTGGAACAGGTCACAGAGTTTTAGTCACCAACAAATATTTGTTCTGTTCCCATTGTGTGGTGCTGCCCTAGGTCTGGCTGTACCACCTACTGGAAACAGAGACAAACCAAAGAAGCAAGAACTCTTTCCTGTGCATCTTAAGTTCCATGTATGTCATGATGTCCTTTCAAGGACATGTAAGTAATGTAAATAAAGAGCGAATAAGCAATCACTGGAAAAAAGGCAGAAGGGAGCTGGGGTGGGGAGCTGGGGTGGACCCTGGTGTGTGTGTGTCCCAGATCTCTCCGTGCGCAGTCCCGTGCTTTTCTTTGTAAGCTTTGGAGGTATGGAAGGTTCAGCTATGCAGACAAGAAATGATTTAAGACCCCCTTGTTGCCATATCTTGATTCTGTAGTCAATTTTATTTTAGGTGTATGAGTGTATTGCCTGCATGTAAGTGCACTCGTGTTGTGCAATGCTTGTGGAGGTCAGTAGAGGGCATCAGATCCCATGGAACTGGACTTATGGATGGTTGTTAGCTGCCATGTGGGTGCTGGGAACCATGTGGGTGATGGTTAACTGCTGAACCAGTTCTCCAATCCTGTAGTCAATTGTTTAAAAAAAATCACAGATGCCATGATATTTTGCCCTTAACTATTTCAGAATGCGTGTAAAAAAATGAGAATCTCAATTCCGTGATCCTCTGAAGAGTAGAAAAATGAATTCTTTAAAAAAATATTTTATTTATTTTTATTTTATGTGTATGAGTATTTTGCCTGTTTGTATGTATGTATATATATATATATATATATATATATATATATACACACACACACACACACCAATGTCCTGCAGTGTTCAAAGAGGCCAGAAGAGGGTGTTGGCTCCCCTGGAACTGCAGTTATGCATGGTTGTTAGCTGCCATGTGGGTGCTGAGAACTGCGTCCTCTGCAAAGAGCAGGAAGTGTTCCTAACTGCTGAGCCATTTCTCTAGCCCTCCAAACTATCTTTTAAAAAAAGGTTTACTGCCAGGTGCGGTGTGCATGCCTTTAATTCCAGCATTCGGGAGGCAGAGGCAGGCGGATCTCTGTGAGTTCAAGGCCAGCCTGGTCTACATAGTGAGTTTCAGGACAGCTGGAGCTACAGGGAGACTCTGTCTCAAAAAGACCAAATAAATAAATAAATAAATAAAGAAATAAAGAAATAAAGTCTCTTTAAAAACTCAACTTGATAATGATACTTTACATAATTGTAGTAGCGCTTGGCTGCTCCAAGTACATAAATCACTAAGATAAGACTGCAGAAGTTTACTGAGGCATCTCTTGTGCCTCATTTAGTCCTTGCTAGTCAAGATAATGGGTCTACTGGGTACTGCATGTGTGCCCAGAACTAGTCTGTTGGGAGCAGTGCTGTAGGCCGTTGGAACCTGCCACGAGTCACAGTGGTGGGCCACCTCAAGGTCTAGAGCAAACAGTGGCGGATCTCTGTGAATTCAAGGCCAGCCTGGTCTACATAGTGAGTTCTAGGACAGCTGGGGCTACAGGGAGACTCTGTCTCAAAAAGACGAAAAAAAAAAAGAAAGAAAGAAAAGAGAAAACTGGAGTTTCTGTGGTGATGCACACTTTCAATCCCAGCACTCAGGAGGCAGAGGCAGGCAGATCTCGGTGAGTTCCGGGCCTCCTGGGATTACAGGGAGACCCTGTCTCAAAAAGACCCCCAAAATTTTTTTAAATTATTTTTATTTTATATGTATGAGTATATTGCCTGCATGTAAGTGCACCTCTGTCATGAAATGCTCACAGAGGTTAGAAGAGGGAGTCAGATTCCGTAGAACTGAAGTTATAGATGGTTGTTAGGTCCCATGTGGGTGCTGGGAACCAAACCCGGGTCCTCTGCAAGAGCAGCCAGTGCTTTTAATCGCGGAGCCATCTTTCCAGCCTCCACTCCTGAGATTCTAATTAAGTGTTCTGTTTATCCCGCGTGCTGAGCCTTCTCTCTTTAAAGATTCTCTTTACCCCTGCCATGCTGGGCATAGCATTTTACATTTTTATTTGTGTGTGGAAATGTGTGTGCCATAGTGTGCTTGTAGAGGTCAGAGGATGACTTTTGGGAGTTAGTTCTGTCCTTCCACCATGTGGGTTCCAAGGATCAAACTTAAGTTCTCAGGCTTGGATGAAGGTGCCTTTACCCACTGAGCCATCTCACTGGCCCATAGATGGCTACTTTTGGTGAGAATTTCCCAATTCAATTTCTCTTACTATGCAGTGCCCACCCCAATGCACTCCCCTGATTAGTTTCTTACCTCTTCAAGTTTACTTCTGCCTCCATCATGGACTCCTTTTTTGAATGACAAGCTGTGAAGTTTCTCCAAGTTTAACCCTGGGAACTCTGATCTTTCTGCTGTCTTCCTCCAAGATCTTACTCGCTCACATGGCTAAATACAATTTCAAGAGAATGATTATCACCAGTTAAAAAAAAAAAAAAAAAAAAAAAGGTTTTCTTTTTTTTTTTTTTTTTGACACAAGAGCTCCCTGTAGCCCCAGCTGGCCTGGAACTCATTATGTAGACCAGACTGGTCATGAACTCAAAGAAATCTGCCTGCCTCTATCTCCTGTGTGCTGGGATTAAAGGTGTGAGCCTCTACACCCAGCCCACACCTGCTTTTTTCTAATGGTGAGGGGAAGCGACATAGAATAATTTAAGGAGACCCTCCATTAGTGGCAGACAGGAATCCTCAGGGGCCTGTGGGTAAGCCCTGGAGGAAGTCTGGGTTAAGCAGGTTAAATGCAAGCTGAGGTTACTCCAGTCTAACAGAGTAGAAATCCAGCAAATCCTCCCAGGGCCTCAAGCCCTGCACAGGCATTGATTGGGCAGCCCACTAACACTGCACATCTAAGCCAGCCTCTGACCTTGGCATTTCAGAACCTGGACTGCATGTCAGGCATGTTACCTTCGTATGCCCCTTCGCCCTCTGGTGATCTCTGGGAGGAAGGCCTGCTCACCGAAACCTGACTGTGTACTGTTCATTTATGTTTCACATTTTCTTTAAGCACTGACTATGTACCAGGCATGGTTCCCAGAGCTGGAGGGAACACTGGGTCCCCACCGTCTTGAAGCATTCACCCAGTGAGAGAACACCATGGTCGAGGGGCCCAGAGAGGGGCGACAGCCACCAAGGCCTCCCTCCCTTGGTTCACAAAGGCTCAGGGGAGGCTGGGAGCCATAGGGTAGATAGCAGGGCTGGCCCCTGATCTGTGGGTAAGGAACCAGCAAAGTCTAGCGGCCCCCACCTAGTGGGAATTAACCTTCAGAGAATCAGAAGTGGAGTCTTGGTATCTGAACCTGGAATCCAGGATGGGATGGCCAAAACTCAGGTCCCTCCCTCCCTCCACTCCTGGCCTGGCAATGCCTCAAAAGAGTAAGTGTCAGGGAGCCTGGGAGACCACAGGTTCTAAAATAGAGCCGTCTTCGCCCCTGCTGTCCACAGGCTGAGTCACCCTGGAATGTGGCTGGGCCTGGGTTGGCTTGGGGTCCAGCACAGGGGAGCCGCCAGCAGCATCAGGGCCAGGCGCCTGGGCTCCCACTTCCTGCCTTTGTCCACATCTTCTTGGGTTTCTCTGGGGCAGAATAGGAAGGCAGCCAGAAATAACACCTGGTTCTCTTCTCCTCTGCCATCATGGGGTTAGCTGGAGGAGGAATCCCCTCTTGTCCCAAATATGGCCCAAGGAAAATCTCAGGCTGTACGTGTGGGCAGGCTGCTGATAGCAGCTCCCAGTGACTCCATTTCCTCACCCATAAAGTGGGGGTGAAGATGCTGACTGGGAGTGATCTGGGGCTAGGGAACGTCATGAGCGTGGGCTCACGGCCAACCTGCCTAAATGGAAACCCGGTTCCTCTCCAGGAACCCTCCAGGCAGGGGCCTCAGTGATTTCAGTCTACTAATGAATGGGGTTGAACAACCTTCATTACTAACTCCAGAACATTTTCACCCTCAGTAAAACCCTGAGTCTGATGGTGGCCAGTTCTCCATCCCCGCCGTCCTGGCAACCACTGCAGATGTCCAGATTATGGAGTCTTTCACCCACCATCGTGTCTCTCAGGCTCATTCATGTTGTAGTATGGGTTGCTGCTTCATTCTTTTTTTATGGCTGAATAATACTCCATGGCATGGTCATGCCACATTTAGTTTATCTCACTGTTGGTCAGTGGACATGGGGTTTTTTCTACCCCATGGCTGTTATGAACAGTGAGCAGCAGTGTACATGCTTATGTGTGAATGCATGTTTCTACTTCTTGGGGCTAAATTGCAGTGTCATGTAGTATGTTTAACTGTTTAAGGAATGCCAGGGTGACTTTTAAAGCACTTACACCCATGTACCTGCCAATGTGGGTTCCAATTTCTACACAACCTTTCCAACACTTATTTTTCTTTTTAAATTAAAATAATGCAGCCATATCAGTGTATATAAAACGGTACCTTGGCTGGGCATGGCAGTTCACGCCTTTAATCGGAGCACTTGGGAGGCAGAGGCAGGCGGATGTCTGTGAGTTCAAGGCCAGCCTGGTCTACATAGTGAGTTCCAGGACAGCTGGGGCTACAGGGAGACTCTGTCTCAAAAAGACCCCCCCTCCAAAAAAAATAGTACCTTGTTGTGACTATGTTTCATCTTTCGTGCCCACTGACTATTTGGGCTTCTTTGGAGAACGGCCTACTCAAATCCTTTGTGCATTTTTATAGTTAGTAGGTTTATTTATCTTATTAATTTTTTGGAACAGAATCTCAGTATGTAATCCAGGCTGGACTCAGGCTCATGGTCTGACACAGTGTCCCACCATAGCCCAGGCTGGCCTCAGACTCCTGGTTCTCCCACAGCCAGCTCATTCATCTTCAAGCTGGGCTGTTTGACTTCCAGTTTAGCTCTTTTGTTCACTCCCTGATGGGTTTAGAGCCTCTGCCCAGGTCCTTGCTCCGTCTCCAGTGTCCGGAGCAGTGACTGCCTTATACTTCATACTGGGTGAGCAAGTGGATAAATCATAGAGAGGAGAGCTGTGAGGATTCACTGACTTATTCACTCTTCACTCATCCATTCACTTATTCACTCATTCATTCATTCATTCATTCATCCATTCATTCTCTGACTCAGTCGTGAATGCATGTATTCTCTCATTCATTTGGCAGATGGGTGTCTAGGGCTCTTTGCATCTCTGTGGCTCTGATGATTCTAGGGCTCAGATGGGTCCTGACTGGGGCTAATGGACCTCTCGGGGACTTCCTTAGCTCACTGTCACTCCCATGGGGGTGAAAGATGGGATGTGACTTGCCCCAGGAGCAGGGCACAGTGCAGTGTGAATCCAGGTGGTAGGCAATTATTGCTGCGGCTCCTTGAGCCGGTCCTGAAGACAGAGATGGAGGCAGGAGGCAGAGTCCATATAGGACAGTGATCCCCGTGTCCCTACTGCAGTCGGTGGCAATCCTCTCTGTTCTTAGAGCCAGTCACAGAAGCTGTCCCTTATGCCAAATTCATCTCCTACTTTGAATCTCTTCACCAGGAGCCCCATCCCCCCATCAGGTCTGGCCCACTGGGGAGAACCTTTGTTTTAAAAAACTGCCCCATCATCCATGACAAGGAAGTCACACACAGTGTGGGTATCACCCGTCTGCCTTTCTCAGGGTCTCACAAGTGCCTTACCACATTCTTCTCCTAGAGCACTCTGACCTTGAACAGCACAGATGTAACCTTTGCACCTGGGCTGAGCCAGCCTGGCTCTCGGACTTCTGCCAGGCCATGGTTGGACTCTTGCCACTTAGAGCCCTCAGGTTCAGAGCCAATGAGGGGAGTCAGTGCTGAAGCTAGTGCCCCACCATCTTCTACCACCTGACTGGGCAGGAGAGGGACTGTGAGATGGCCAGAGCGCAGACTGTGGCCTTCTGCGTGCTGGAAGGTCTCACTGGCAGGGAGATGCCTCTGCAGGAGATCCTGACTGGCTCCCCATTCTCCATCCTCACCCCTGGGTCCTTTCTCTGCACAGCAGCCAAAAGGATCTTCAAACCTTTACCAAACCTCACCCCTCCTGCATAGACCCTCTTGGGCCCCCATCTCACTCAGAGAAAAAAAAAAAGTCTCACCACTGCCTGCACAATGTGGGTGTCACCCGTGACCTCCCTGGCCACACTTGCTTCCCCTTGCTCAGTCTACCCACAGCAGCTTCTCTACTATGCTTTGAGCTGACAGCACCTGACCCCAGGGCCTTTGCCCTTGCTGCTCTGTCTTCCTAAAAGCTCTTCTTAGATGCCCAAGGGCCCCTTCCACCTTCAGCTATCCACTCAGTGCATCCAGGGGGAAGCCTGCCCTGTCTCTCTACTGACCTTCCCATGACCTCTACTCTCTTGCTTTGTCACATGGTGCTAAGTTCTGTGGTTTCTGCAGGCGGCCAGGGGAGCCTCCTTTGGACCCAGGCAGCATCCCCTGGCTGGGCCATGCGTTGGAGTTTGGAAGAGATGCTGCCAGCTTCCTCACAAGGATGAAGGAGAAACATGGTGATGTGTTTACAGTGAGTACCACTGGGAGGGAGGGGTGAACAGCTGGTTCATCACTGGAACCACTGATTCCTTCAACATCTGCCCACACCCTGACCTGTCCATCCATCTCCCATCCAGGGAGGCTGGCTTTCTACCTGTCTCCCTGTCTTTCCAACTATACATGCCATGTTTCTTTGACTGCCTGCCTTTTAGAGTCTTCCAGTATCAAGCTGTCAGGATTTGGTATCCTGACCAACACTTGTTTGTCCATCCAAAGACCTCCACCCACCCCTCAGCCTCCACTTTCTCTGTCTCTCCATGAGCATCCACTGTCTGCCTTTCTACCTGACATCTCAGCAGCCTTCTGTCCTAATACCTGAATGTCAGTCACAGATTGTTTCTGACTGATAGTGACTTTGATGTCACTGGGACCAAAGTACCTGACATACAACTCAAGGGAGGAAGGGTTTTAAAAAAACTTTAAAACAGTTATTATTATTATCACCATCATTATGTGTGTGGAGATATATGGGTGCCATGATGCACATGGAGGTCAGACAACTTTGTGGAGTCATCTTTATGTGGATTCCAGGAATTGAGCTCAGGTCTTTAGACTTGGTGGCAAGCAACTTTACTCAATGAGCCATTTTTCTGGCTGGGAGGAAGGGTTTATTTTGGCTCATGGTTTCAGAGGGTTCTGCCATGGTTGTTTGGCCTCTTGTACTTGGGCAGGGCAACGTGGTAGTGGTAGGGTGGATGTGGGAAGGTGTGGGTGTAAGTGTGGGTACTGGTGGGAAGGTGAAGGTAGGACCTGTGGCAGAAGCTGTTCTCTTGGTGACAGGAAGCAAAGGAAAGGGGAAAAAATGGGAAGAAAGAGGCCAGGACAAGATACATCCCCTAAGACACACTCCAGGGGCTGCTTCCTCCAGCTAGGTCCTGCCTCCTGCCTCTCATCCACATCTGAATCCATCAGGAGAGTAACCCAGTCACTGGGGCAGAGCCTGTGGTCTAATGGTCTCTGGAAAGGCCCTTACAGACACACCTGGGATGGGTGGACTTCACTAGTTGTGCTGGATAGTTTTAGTGTCAACTTAACACACCTGGGTTGAGGGACCCTCAATTGGGAATTGCCTCCATTGGACTGGCCTGTGGCCATGTCTGTGGGGCATTTTCTTGATTGTTGAGTGATGTGGGAGGGCCCAGCCCACTGTGGGTAGTCCCCCCCCGGGGCATGTGGGCCTGTGTTGGATAAGAGAGCAAGCTGAGCAGGGGCCAGGAGAGCAAGCCAATAAGCAGCATTCCTCCATGGTCTGTGCTCCAGCTCCTGCTTCCAGGTTCCTGCCCTGAGTTCCTACCTTGGGCTCCCTGATGAACTGCAACCTGGAAGCTGTAAGCTGAATAAACCCTTTCCTTCCCAAGTTGGTATTGGTCAGAGTGTTTTGTCACAGCAATGGAGAAACAAACTAAGACACTAGTCTCTTAGCACCTTCTCGGTACAATCAGGATGACAGTAAAGATTAGACATCACATCTCCACCCATCCATTTATCCATCTGCCTTTCCATATATTTACCTAATATGTTTGTCTATCTATCCATCATCTATTTGTTTATTATCTATCTATCCATCATCTATCTATCTATCTATCTACCACCTATCTGCCTATCAATCATCTATCTATCTAGCATCCATCTATCTATCATCTACATAGCATCTGTCCATCATCTATCTAGTATCTATCTATCCATCCACATTTACACAGCATTCTTCCACTCTTGTGCCTAATACTCATCCTGCTTCCATTCCTCCCTAGACTGCCTCTCCACTGGCTTCCATCCGTCCTCCATGCATCTACCCATCTTTCTCTCCACTGCCCACCCAACATTCACCATGTAGCCATTCAGCATCTGCCACTGTGTGCTCCCTGCTGCCCACCTCTGTGACCATCCATCCCCTCAGCACCCTTCACCCTCCTGCCATTCACACTTCCAGCTTCCAGTTCCCGACTTTCATCCTTCAGACTTACCTGATACTACTTAGCTGTCACTCGCATCCCCAACCTTCACTCATGTAGTCACTTCCAGTCAACCTGCAATCACCCGTCCATCCATCTAACAGATTTATTGATCTGTCTTTCCGTTCCCCATCTGACACTATCCACCTGACACCTCCATTTCCTTCCTTCCCTCTGTTTTCCTTTTTTCTGTGTACTCATCCATTTTGCCTTCAGTTTACCCATCCTTCCTCCACTATCTATTTATCCATGTGCCTACCCATTTACAGTCAATCTGCTAGCATTTATTTCACATCTACCCATCCATTCACTCACCGTTCATCCATCCATCCATCCATCCACTCATCCATCCACTCATCCATCTATCCATCCACCCATTCATCTATCGATCCACCCATCCATCCATCCACTCATCCATCTATCCATCCACCCATCCATCTATCGATCCACCCACCCATCCATCCACTCATCCATCTATCTATCCACTCATCTATCCATCTACCCACCCATCCATCCACTCATCCATCTATCCATCTACCCACCCACCCATCCATCCACTCATCCATCTATCCATCCACCCACCCATCCATCCATCCACTCATCCATCTATCCATCCACCCATCCATCTATCGATCCACTCACCCATCCATCCACTCATCCATCTATCCATCCACCCACCCATCCATCCACTCATCCATCTATCCATCCACCCATCCATCCATCCACTCATCCATCTATCCATCCACCCATCCATCTATCGATCCACCCACCCATCCATCCACTCATCCACCTATCTATCCACTCATCTATCCATCTACCCACCCATCCATCCACTCATCCATCTATCCATCTACCCACCCACCCATCCATCCACTCATCCATCTATCCATCTACCCACCCACCCATCCATCCACTCATCCATCTATCCATCTACCCACCCACCCATCCATCCACTCATCCATCTATCCATCTACCCACCCACCCATCCATCCACTCATCCATCTATCCATCTACCCACCCACCCATCCATCCACTCATCCATCTATCCATCTACCCACCCACCCATCCATCCACTCATCCATCTATCCATCCACCCACCCATCCATCCATCCACTCATCCATTCATCTATCCACGCACCCACTTGTGTATGTGGCAGGGTGTACTGGGGATTGAACCCGGGAGCTTCCTGCATGCTAGGCAAGTGCTGTACCACTGAGCTATGTCTTTAGCCCCTCTTTCACTTTTCATCTGGAGACATGGTCTCACTAAGTTGCCTAGATTGACCATAAACTGACTCTGTAGTCTGGGCAGATTTTAACTTGGGATCCTCCTGCCTCAGCCTCCTGAGTAGTTGGGATGACAGGCCTGCACTACAACCTTAGATTTTAAAAAGGCCCTGGCTCCGGTCTTGGCTCTATTGCTTTTCGGCACGGAGATCTTGGGCAGGCTGGCCCTTCTGTAAGCCTTACTTTTGCAGCTGTAGATGGGGGAGCAGCATCCCCTAGATCACAGATGGGAGGGGCAGGTAAGAATGCTGTTGGCCAAGTGCCTCTGGGGCCAGTGCTTGCTCAGCACTGAGAATTCCTGACCACTGGAGCTGCCTTTGTTCCATCTTTTTGTAGGTGCTGGTGGGTGGCAGATACGTCACCGTCCTCCTGGACCCACACTCCTACGACATGGTGGTGTGGGAACCGAGGACGAGGCTGGACTTCCACACCTATGCCATCTTCCTCATGGAAAGGATTTTTGATGTGCAGCTTCCGCATTTTAACCCCAGTGAGGAGAAGGCCAAGATGAAGCCGTGAGCACCCAAGCGGGCCTGTGGGTGGGTCCAGCTGTGGGTGGGTCAGGCTGGGGTCTTCCACCTCACAGCCCAAATCCTGAATGGGTTGTACTTGGCTCCACAGCCACTGCCAAGTAAAAAATTTTTTCAAAAAACAAATGTCACCCTATCCTCTGTCCAGCCCAGGCCTGTGGGTTCTGGTTTCTGCCACGGTCCATGGGTAGGGCACTGTCCCTGCACACTCTGGTCACCTGCGGCCCCTTATGGCATTGGTGTCCACACAGGCACCCAGGGGCCTTACACAGACAGACACCCTTCCATCCTGGGCTCTGATCAGCTCCTCAGTCTCAGCTCAGCATAGACCCCGAGTCAGGGACCCCTAACTGCTGTCACTTGCTCCCCCAGACTGCATCTCCCAGGTCCTCTTCAGGAGACCGGCTCTGACTCCCTTTTCCTCATGTCCTGTCTGTCTGGAATTGTGTCTTATTAGCAGTCTCCCTCCATGGGCCTTGACTGTCCAAACAGGTGTCCCAGCCAGCTCTTCCTCTGTGCACCAGGCAAGGACAGACTGCCCCATTGCTCTCTCCTCGGTGCCTGAGTCTATCATAAAACGAGTGTGTTCATGGTAACTGCTGGTGTTCTCACATGCCATCTTTATGCTGAGCACATACATGTAGGATGTGATAGCTGCTGCTGCCAGGGGCCATGGCTTCCTTAAGTCAGTCTTCTGAGGGACCAGTTTCTAGTGGGGAACTTGAGCTCTGAGATCCTGAGGTATGAGGAAGGAGGTGGCTGAACTCATTTTCTGTTGCTGGCCTCAGGACACTCATGCACAAAGACCTGCAGGCACTCACGGAAGCTATGTACACCAACCTCCACACCATCCTGCTGGGTGACCCCACGGACGTGGGCAGTGGCTGGCATGAGACGGGCCTCCTTGATTTCGCCTACAACTCCCTACTCAGGTGAGCCCATGACCTCCTGTTGTCGTGGTGGGGGCCCAGCCCATTGGACCTGTGAAAGCCATGGGCAGTGGACCAGGGAACCATGAGGACCCTGTGGGTCCGGTGCTGATGGAGATGCTCAAAGCAGAATGCAGGATGTGGTGCAGGTGGGACCCCAAATTTATCTGACATGACCCAAGCTGAAAAGCAGACACCAGCTGCAAAAGGGCCCTGTGTGTTCCTCACAGTGGGACAGCCTAGCAGGCTTCGTTTGTGTGGCCACTTCCAGACTGATTCCCACAGGTCAGCAAAGGAGATGCTTGGGAGAGTAACCAGGGACCCTGGCCTTCGGGCAGACCTGATAAATGTGTAGTCAAAACAGTGCAACCATGTGCGCCTTGGTTCAACTGTGCTGGGTCCTCGCAGGGGACACAGTGAAGTTCCCATGCCTGAGATGAGATGGCAGAGATCCAGAGAAAGAGTGCTGGCATCTGGGGGGCTCCTTCCATTGACCCATCCATCCATCTACCCATCCATCCATCGACCCATCCATCCATACATCATCCATCCATCTACCCATCCATCCATCTACCCATCCATCCATCTGCCCATCCTTCCATTGACCCATCCATCCATACATCATCCATCCATCGACCCATCCATCCATCGACCGATCCATCCATCAACCCATCCATCCATCGACCCATCCTTCCATCCACCCATCCATCCATCCACTCATCCATCTATCCATCCACCCATCCATCTATCGATCCACCCACCCATCCATCCACTCATCCACCTATCTATCCACTCATCTATCCATCTACCCACCCATCCATCCACTCATCCATCTATCCATCCACCCACCCATCCATCCATCCACTCATCCATTCATCTATCCACGCACCCACTTGTGTATGTGGCAGGGTGTACTGGGGATTGAACCCGGGAGCTTCCTGCATGCTAGGCAAGTGCTGTACCACTGAGCTATGTCTTTAGCCCCTCTTTCACTTTTCATCTGGAGACATGGTCTCACTAAGTTGCCTAGATTGACCATAAACTGACTCTGTAGTCTGGGCAGATTTTAACTTGGGATCCTCCTGCCTCAGCCTCCTGAGTAGTTGGGATGACAGGCCTGCACTACAACCTTAGATTTTAAAAAGGCCCTGGCTCCGGTCTTGGCTCTATTGCTTTTCGGCACGGAGATCTTGGGCAGGCTGGCCCTTCTGTAAGCCTTACTTTTGCAGCTGTAGATGGGGGAGCAGCATCCCCTAGATCACAGATGGGAGGGGCAGGTAAGAATGCTGTTGGCCAAGTGCCTCTGGGGCCAGTGCTTGCTCAGCACTGAGAATTCCTGACCACTGGAGCTGCCTTTGTTCCATCTTTTTGTAGGTGCTGGTGGGTGGCAGATACGTCACCGTCCTCCTGGACCCACACTCCTACGACATGGTGGTGTGGGAACCGAGGACGAGGCTGGACTTCCACACCTATGCCATCTTCCTCATGGAAAGGATTTTTGATGTGCAGCTTCCGCATTTTAACCCCAGTGAGGAGAAGGCCAAGATGAAGCCGTGAGCACCCAAGCGGGCCTGTGGGTGGGTCCAGCTGTGGGTGGGTCAGGCTGGGGTCTTCCACCTCACAGCCCAAATCCTGAATGGGTTGTACTTGGCTCCACAGCCACTGCCAAGTAAAAAATTTTTTCAAAAAACAAATGTCACCCTATCCTCTGTCCAGCCCAGGCCTGTGGGTTCTGGTTTCTGCCACGGTCCATGGGTAGGGCACTGTCCCTGCACACTCTGGTCACCTGCGGCCCCTTATGGCATTGGTGTCCACACAGGCACCCAGGGGCCTTACACAGACAGACACCCTTCCATCCTGGGCTCTGATCAGCTCCTCAGTCTCAGCTCAGCATAGACCCCGAGTCAGGGACCCCTAACTGCTGTCACTTGCTCCCCCAGACTGCATCTCCCAGGTCCTCTTCAGGAGACCGGCTCTGACTCCCTTTTCCTCATGTCCTGTCTGTCTGGAATTGTGTCTTATTAGCAGTCTCCCTCCATGGGCCTTGACTGTCCAAACAGGTGTCCCAGCCAGCTCTTCCTCTGTGCACCAGGCAAGGACAGACTGCCCCATTGCTCTCTCCTCGGTGCCTGAGTCTATCATAAAACGAGTGTGTTCATGGTAACTGCTGGTGTTCTCACATGCCATCTTTATGCTGAGCACATACATGTAGGATGTGATAGCTGCTGCTGCCAGGGGCCATGGCTTCCTTAAGTCAGTCTTCTGAGGGACCAGTTTCTAGTGGGGAACTTGAGCTCTGAGATCCTGAGGTATGAGGAAGGAGGTGGCTGAACTCATTTTCTGTTGCTGGCCTCAGGACACTCATGCACAAAGACCTGCAGGCACTCACGGAAGCTATGTACACCAACCTCCACACCATCCTGCTGGGTGACCCCACGGACGTGGGCAGTGGCTGGCATGAGACGGGCCTCCTTGATTTCGCCTACAACTCCCTACTCAGGTGAGCCCATGACCTCCTGTTGTCGTGGTGGGGGCCCAGCCCATTGGACCTGTGAAAGCCATGGGCAGTGGACCAGGGAACCATGAGGACCCTGTGGGTCCGGTGCTGATGGAGATGCTCAAAGCAGAATGCAGGATGTGGTGCAGGTGGGACCCCAAATTTATCTGACATGACCCAAGCTGAAAAGCAGACACCAGCTGCAAAAGGGCCCTGTGTGTTCCTCACAGTGGGACAGCCTAGCAGGCTTCGTTTGTGTGGCCACTTCCAGACTGATTCCCACAGGTCAGCAAAGGAGATGCTTGGGAGAGTAACCAGGGACCCTGGCCTTCGGGCAGACCTGATAAATGTGTAGTCAAAACAGTGCAACCATGTGCGCCTTGGTTCAACTGTGCTGGGTCCTCGCAGGGGACACAGTGAAGTTCCCATGCCTGAGATGAGATGGCAGAGATCCAGAGAAAGAGTGCTGGCATCTGGGGGGCTCGTTCAGCCTAGATCTGAGGTCTAGCTTCAGGGTCCCCATTGTGCCAAGTCCCTGGTGGAGAAAACAGGCCCTGGGTAGGAAGAAGCTGGGGTGGGGGGGCTAGTGTTGTTGGAGCACAGAGGCCAAGGGAGCAGAGACAGAGGAGCCTGCAGAACTCCTCTCAGAGCCTGGGGGAAGGTTCTGGAATGTATGCTCAGCAGGCAGGGTTCCGTTGGGACTTGCACAGGGACCTGATGCCATCTAATTTTGGAGCTTAACAATCGTGTACGTGGGGCTGTGGGGTAAGAGCCTGGCAGAGGGTGCTCTAGGAGATACTGAGTCATCCAGATGGGATGCAGTGGCGGCCTGGGCAGTGGCTTCAGGAGACCAAGTGAATGGGACCAGCTGATTACGTTTAGCACAGGGTGTTGGTGGGTTGGAGGATTGTACATGTGAGCAGTGGGGGACAACTTCTCAATAATTAGTGGTGTCATTACAGGAAAGAAAAGACATTCTGACTCCCCCAATTTTGAATAAAGGGCCATTTGCTGGCACGAGTATGTCTGTGTGGACTTGGTGGGTAAACTCAATCTTCTTATTAGCTCTGTGAGCTGGTAATTTACACAGCCCATTTGATAGATGCAAAAACCAAGACCCAGAGTCCCTTGCTAGGGTCACCAGGCTGCTCTTGGACACACTGTCAGTGGGACCCTCTTTCCTCCCTGTGTTCCTGTCAACCTACACACCTGTGCCTGCAGGGCCTGGGCCTGACATGAGCTCCTGCCACCACCTGGTGTGGTACCCTGGGTCTTTGCAGCTACCTGGTCCCTGAAAGAGAAAGGAAATGGGTATGTAGGATTCAAGGAGGCAGGTGTGGGGTCTGGGTCCCCACAGCCCAATCTGTGGGGTGCTGTCACTTAAACCTCCCAGCCTGTCCCATGTTGGCCCTGCCTCTCTTATAGTCTCATCCAAAGTTCGATTCTGTCCTCCTTAGATCCCCAGATGCTTCGCTGCCCCTTGAACAGTGGGCTCCCCTCCAGGTCTTTACAGTTTGGTTCCCTGCTGGGAGGCCACATCCAAGTGGCTCTCATGTCAAGTCTTAAGACCACCAGCTCAAGATCCAGGTCCTTTTCTCCACCTCCTACCTGGCTCTGGCCAGCTGTATTTTAGTTTGTGGCAATGAGCACCACCTAGTGGCCAAAAGTGTTGGGACCCATGCAAGTGCCTGGGTGAACTGACTCAGCTCCCGGGCTGCACCTTCCTACCTCCGCCCAGAGCCATAGTGAGGGAGGGCTGCCTTGTGTGGAGAGGAAAGGGAGAGAAACTTCTAGGCTAAGGCTGAGGCTGGGGCCGAGGTTGGGGCATGAGGAGGGCTGAGCTTGGCCTCTGAAGGAGTAGCCCAGCTGTTCCCTGGGAAGCAGGCCTCCTGCTACCCCAGAGGGAGGAGCAGGTATGAGTCCCCGACTCTGGAGACTTATTCCTGAGGCCCACAGAAGCTGGGGCTGGGCAGGAAAGGGCATTTGGGGTGCAGAGGGGAAATGGAATGGTGGCCTGCATGACTCTGGTCAAAATTGTGACAGCCTGTCATTTTCTCTCATCATTAGAGTTCTTAGAAGTAAGTTCTATTTATCTGTCTTTTCAATGCATCATTGCTGCACCCAGCCACCCACATCTACCCATCCACCTATCCATCTATTCATCCACCCACCCATCCATCCACCCATCCACCCATCCATCCATCCACCCACCCATCCACTCACCTATCCACCTACCTACCCATCTATCCATGCATCTATATCCATTCATCCAGCCACTGTCCATTCATCTACCCACTCATTTATTCAATCTACCTATCCATTCATCCACCCATCTGTCCACCTGTTCCTCCATCAACCCATCTACCCACACGTCCATTGACCCATCATCTCTGGAAGGCTTACTGCTGCCTGTCCCATGTGGTAGAGGGGCTTCTCCCCTCTCCCAAGTGGGGAAACCCTTCCTGTGAGACCCATTACTAGGGGAGCTCAGGCAGGTGAGGTAGGGAGGGTTTGGACTTCAGGGTCATCTCTGCACATGCCCAGCCCCTTCCCTGTGGGGAAAGTGAAAACCTGCAGTTCCCTCCTAGGACCAGACCACCCCAGGCTGGTTCTGGATTCCTGGGGTATCAAGGAAGTAGTTGGTGATGCACATGTTTCCCCTGAGGGGCTCCTGGGAGGGTGTGGGGTGTGTGTACATGTGCAGGTTTGTGTGTGTGAAGGACACACCAGCTCCCATGGCTCATCCTTTGTACCTGGCCCCACCCTGTTCTCAGATCTCCCTGCCAAAGCTCAGCCTAGCCGCTGAACCCAGGTATCCTGCATGCCACCCTGGGACTCACCCCAAGCCCTTTTTCATTTTATATTTTGAGATATCATCTTACTGAGTTGCCCAGGCTGGACTTGAACTCATGTTTCTCCTGCCTCAGCCTCCTAAGTAGCTGGGATTAGGATTACAGATCTGTGTCACTAGGTGCAGTTAAGCCGAGTTTATGTGTATGATTGCTATGCCTGCATGTATGTAAATGCATCCACGTCATGCAGTACTTGTGGAGGACAGAAGTGGGCTTCCAATCCCCTGGAACTGGGATTACCATTCTGAGCCATCATGTGGGTGCTGGGACTTGAACCCAGGTCTTCTGCAAGAGCAGCCAGTGTTTTTAACTACTGAGCCATCTCTCCAGCCCCCACCCCAAACCCAGTTTCTTTTTCTTTCATTTTTTTTCTTCTGGTCTTTTTGAGTCAGGGTCTCCCTGTAGCCCCAGCTGGCCTGGAACTTGCTGTGTAGACCAGGCTGGCCTCAAACTCACAGAGGTCCACCTGCCTCTGCCTCCCGAGTGCTGGGGTTAAAAGCATGCACCACCACACCCAGCATAAAACCCAGTTTCTTAACAACCTTTGCACACTGTCCCTGCCCTGTGCTGCACACTGTCCCTGCCCTGTGCTGCCTGATCATAATTCACCCCAGCCTGACCCCCACCCCCACTGCTCTCTGCCTTCTCCCATCTGCTCACACTCCAACTCCAGTGACACCAGCAGATCTCTGGCCAGGCCAGGTTGCTTGCTGGATTTTTACGCAGACTGTGCCTTCGGCCCTAACACCCTCGCCTCACCTCTTCTTACATCCCAGGTTTCAGAACCCTACTCCTCCCCTCACCCCCAAGAATCCTGCTCAGGCCCTCTCAGAGAGGGTCTCCCCCAACTCCCACCTCCTGGGCACCCTTCAGTGCTGTAGTTCCCCCCGACACAGGACCTTTGCACTTCCTGTTTGCTCTGCTTGGAACCCCTTCCTTCTGCTCCTGTAGCTGGTTCGTGGTCATCACAGTTTCACTGTGAGCCCTCTCCATGGTAGGCAATGCTGTCACAACTCCACCTGCTTCCCAACCCAGGCTTTGCACCTCTGAATATCAGCATCTCTTGTTTGTTGACCCCCCTCCCTGCAAGGTCTACTCCATGGCAAAGGGACTTTTTTGGTTTCATTTTTTGAGACACGATCTCACTCTATAGCTCATGCTGATTTGGTACTCGTTATGTAGCCCAGACTGGCCTTGAACTAGAAGGAATCCTCTTGCCTCAGCCTCCCAAGTGCAGGAATTACAGGCATGCACCATCAAGCTCCACTCTTGTCTTTTGTTTAAAGCTGATTCCCTGTGTGCAGAGCAGTCCCCAGCACACAGCAGTAACGTTAGAAACTTCTAGGCTGCCATAGAGACCCAGGGAGGACCTGACCTGCTGCTGTCTCTCTTAGAGCTGGCTACCTGACTCTGTATGGAGTGGAGGCCTCGCCACGCACCCATGAGAGCCAGGCCCAGGACCGTACCCACTCAGCTGACGTCTTCCACACCTTCCGCCAACTGGATCTGCTTCTCCCCAAATTGGCTCGAGGCTCCCTGTCAGTGGGTAAGCACTGTCACAGCAGAAGTGGGTAGTGGGTCTAATACCAAGACTGGATGGTCTTTGCCCCCAAGAAGCCAGGGGATAGACAGGAGGGACATCCTAATGTCCTGGGGGTAGTAAGGTCCCTGTCACCCTGCAGGCTCGCAAATGGAGCTGGGAGCAGAGCTGGGGTTTCAGCAGATCTAGAGTGGGGCCTGAGGATCCTTGTGTTTCTTTTTCTTGTTTTAAGATGGCTTTTTTTTTTGGTCTTTTTGAGACAGGGTCTCCCTGTAGCCCCAGCTGTCCTGGAACTCACTATGTAGATCAGGCTGGCCTTGAACTCACAGAGATCCGCCTGCCTCTGCCTCTGCCTCCTGAGTGCTGGGATTAAAGGTGCGCGCCAGCACGCCCGGCACATTTCACTTTTTTTTTTTCACAAGTTTATTTTCCTCCTTGTTATAAGAAACTCAAGCCATATAGAAAAATTGAGGAACCAGTAAGAGAGCTCTCTAATTTTCCCCCATATCCAGCCCACTCTCCACAGAGATAGCCACTATTTCTAGTTTGGAGTGCATCCTGGCAGAGCTTTCTCTAATCAAGATTCATGAGCATGCACACCCTGCACAGTTGTGTACTTTTATTGTTGTCTATTTTCAGGGCTCTTTATGAGGGTGTAATTTACGTGCACAGAACTACCCTCGTGTGCAGCCGAGGGAAGATCTAAACTTTTCATACCCATGACTAGCCAGGTGCTTCATCCTGGTTAGTTTTGCCTTTTTTAAAAAAAAATTATCTTTATTTTATTAGTGTATTAGTGCTATGCCTGCATGTATTTACGTGTACCTGTGTCATGCAGTGCCTGAGGAGGACAGAAGAGGGCATCAGATCTCCTGGAACTGGAATTACAGATGGTTTTTAGCTGCTATTTGGGTGTTGGGATTTGAACCTGGGTCTTCTGCAAGAGCAGCCAGAACTCTTAACCGCAGAACCATTTGGCTTTTTCTTGACCTGCTGATAACCACAACCATACAGTGTGTGCCTTTTTATGTCTGCCTCCTTTCACCCAACATGATTCTGTGAGATTCATCCAAGTCTTGTATGTCTTAATGGTTATTTTTTGTTGCTGTATAGTTTTCATTAGAGTAAAATGTGCATCCATTTTTCTGGTTGATAGGTGTTTGAGTAGTTTACAGTTTATGTGTTATGAATTAGCTATGAACATTCTTGTGTGTGTCTTTGGGGCACACATATTCTCATTTCTTTTATTTTTAGTTTAGTTTGTTTGAGACAGTGTCTCACTATGTAGACCAGGTTGACCTCGAACACACAGAGATCCACCTGCCTCTGCCTCCTGAGTGCTGGGATTAAAGCCATGCGCCACCACGTCCAGCCTATTTGTAACATTTTTTTAAAGTTATGTTTATTTACTTATCTGTGTGCATATGTATGGGCACACGCATGCTATAGCATGTGTTGCAGTCAGAGGACAACTTGCGGGAGTCAGTTCTCACGTTCCACCATGTGAGTTTTGAGGCTCAAACTCAGGCTGTTGAGCTTGATTTGGGTTCCTCCTACCCAAGCCTTCCAAGAACTGGGATTAAGGGGTACATCATCATACCTGGCCATCATTTCCGAAGCCCAGGGGCAGTCTCTCTGCCTAACCAAAGGCAAAGCACCTGCTGTTCCTCACAGGTGTCTGCATCTTCCCACTGGTTTGCCAGACTGCTGGACAGAGGCTGGAAACTTTCTGTTTCCACTTTCATCTCTTCACAGGGCTTCAAGCATGCAGTCATCAGTCTTTAAATTCTTGCCAAGGTGGAGGGCAGAGAAGGGCGTCAGTTTCCTGCTCACCTTCCTGCCTGCCGTGCCAAGACATCCTTTAGTTTCCATGGCCCTGGCATTTCTGCTCTGTGAGCTGTGCACACATGCATATTATTATATTTTCAGAGACAGTTCATTGTCCAATCCAATCCCTGGGGATACCCTTGTTGCAGATGGAAAAACTGAGGCTCACAGAGGTGAAATCACTTGTCAGACACCTTGGGTAGGTGGCAGAGCCAGCGGCACACACACTTTGTCAGGTCGCAAGATCTGGCCTGTTCAACACATGTCCCAGCCCAGCACCAGTTGCTTCTCTAGAAAAAGTTGAGTTTGGTGTTTTTTGGTACCCTCCTTCTCCTGAGCCCGGGAGACAGGGCACCTCAGGCATTCTGCATCTAGAAGGCTGCATGCCCCAGCGTGGGCAGCAGGTGGCAGTGTTGGAGGACAGTTGCCCTCACTTGTGGGCCGAGACTTGCGGGCCAAGCAGTTCCCAGACCTTGTGGATTGTGTGCAGGTGCCACTCTAGAAAACCAACCAGGCAAATTCCCAGCAAAACATCAAATGTAGATTGTTTCCTCCCATAGTCTCTCCTCTAGGAAATGGTCCTACAGAAATACATGTGGCAACAGACATAGATGTTCACAGCCACATTGCCTGTGACTGAACTTAGCATGGGAGATGTGCCTGTAACTCCAGCATTAAGGGGGTGAGGGGAATTCAAACGGATCACCAAAGGTCCAGTGAGCGCTCTGACTCAAGGAATAAGGTGGTGGGGCTAGAGAGAGGGCTCAGCGGTTAAGAGCACTGGCTGCTTTTGCAGAGGACGCAGGTTCCCCAGCATCCACATGGCCGCTAACTTATAACTCCAGTTCCAGGGGATCTAACATCTTCTTCTGACCTCTGCAGGTACTGCATGCACATGGTGCACTTACACACACGCAGACAAAACAGTCATACACATGAAATAAAAGTAATAAATAAAACCTTAAAACATTAAGGTGGAGAGCAATAGATGGAGTCACCAGCATCTGGAGAGCTCTGACCTGCACACACAGACACACACAGACACAGACACACACACACACATACACAATAGGCGAGTGCACCTGCATACATGTGCACACACAGGTGAGTGCACCTGCATACATATGTGCACATACACACACACAGGTGAGTGCACCTGAATACATATGCACACACAGACACACACAGAGGTGAGTGTGCCTGCATATATATGCACACACACACAGATGAGTGTACCTGCATACATATGCACACACACAGACACAGGTGAGTGTACCCGCATACATATGCACACACACAGACACAGGTGAGTGTACCCACATACATATGCACGCACACACAGACACACACAGACACAGACACACACACACACATACACAATAGGCGAGTGCACCTGCATACATGTGCACACACAGGTGAGTGCACCTGCATACATATGTGCACATACACACACACAGGTGAGTGCACCTGAATACATATGCACACACAGACACACACAGAGGTGAGTGTGCCTGCATATATATGCACACACACACAGATGAGTGTACCTGCATACATATGCACACACACAGACACAGGTGAGTGTACCTGCATACATATGCACACACACATACACAGGTGAGTGTACCTGCATACATATGCACACACACAGACACAGGTGAGCGCACCTTCATACATATGCACACACACACACATACATATAGACACAGGTGAGTATACCTGCATACATATGCACACACACA